GTATAAACCTAGGAGCAAATAAATTTGAAAATAGGTTTTTCTTTTAATGGGTTAGTTTAGACTTTTGTTGACATGATGGGTTTTTTTTAGATGGTACTTTTATAATACTATGTTATGCCCTAAAATATTTTTGTGGCCTTAAAATTTTTTGATTTGTTTTCATTATTTCAGTTGTGTGTGTGTGTTGAAGGTTTGCATGTATGTTCTATTTGTTACATCTGTAACTGTTATTTTACATAATACTCTTAATCCTCTACTACTTTAATAGTATTTGTTAACTTCCTTCTGTGAGTAATCAACAAAATTAGGTATTTCTTCTTCTTTTCATTCTTTTACCCATTTTCTTTCCCATTCAATTTTGATTGATTATGTCTATCTCAGTATTTAACTTTTACTGTTACATGTTGTTGTGATTCTATTAAATTATTTTTGAGCTTTAAGTGATATATCTTTAATTCTAGCTACATAAGATAAGAGTATGTGCTTTAATTTTCTTCCAAAATTCTAAACTGCTTCACTTCATAATTTTTGTGAAAATTTTCATTTCTATATCATCAAGTTTATACTGTTTTCATTTGATTCTGTAACCATAACCCAACATCTGTCTTAGTCTTGGTTCTATGGTTATATAGGATTAATATTGACCATCATAGTTTTCCCATCTATCTCTTACTTGAGGTTCTTAATGTAATTGTATTTTCCTCTTTCAAAAATAGTTTGTTTTCATACTTAGATGACACAATAGCTAGGTATAACTTTTTCTTCCATGGTGCTTTCTTTTCCTTGGTAATTTGTAGGCTGTACTTAATGACTTTCTCATGTTGAGTGTTGACTTAGAAAGCTGAAGACCAGTATGATTTTGTTTTTCTCTTTTACTGGCTTTTGTGGAATAGTTCCAATTGATGTCAATTGTCCAGGCATAATTTTTAAGGACATCGTTTTTTTATTCTCAAAAGATTAGAAGTTATATGGTCACCCTATTTATGAGTGATCTGATAGTATTTCTGGGATGTCAAAATAAATATTTCTTTATATTTCAAGTCTGGTCATTTCACTAGAATATGACTTAGTTTGACCATTTTGTATAATCCCCAAGCCAGCATATGATGTGTCCTTTCCACTATAGGATGAAGTTTTCTCCTCCTTCCCCTATTCTCTTTCTACTCCTCTTCCTTCTCTTCCTCCTTTTCAAAATTCTTCACATTTAAATATGCTTTCCATACTTCAGTCCACTATATCCCTCACTGAGTTTTTAGGAGGGCCTATTTTTTTAGTGATACTTCTAGTTTTGTCTTTGTTTCTGTGATATTCTTCCCTTTATTCCTGGATTCTATCAGTGCTTATTCATCATTTTTTCCTAAGCTCTTGCATCTCTGCTCTGTGCTTTGTTTTATAAAGGTGCTTTATTGTTTTTATTATGTTAATTCATGGCAATAATGGGTCACAATTAGTAGATGATTTGTGGCTTTTTTCCTTAGCTTCATCTGCATTTCACTTCCTTTTTCTTTTCCTCTCCCCATCTGCACACTTTATTATCTTAAAAAAAGATACTGGTGTCCTTGGAACCTGGTTTCTTTTGGATTAATTTGTAGAAATTTTATATGCTGGAGAATATAGGGCTCTAATACAGACTAGAATAAATTTTTATTATAAACCAGGGTTATGAATTTGAATTTTTGGAACCATTTCCTTTCTAGCCAACCTATGGAGAGGTAGGAAGTGTAAGGCTATATGAAGATGGCTTCCTGTAAATTTGCCTTATTTAATTGAGTCCTTATTTTGCTATATCTCTTCTGTTTCTGCGACTTACTTAGGTCTGAGGATGCTCCTGCCACCACCTCATTCTCCCATTTCCTACAGTTACAAAAAGGGGACCTGATTTTAGATTTGGACTACGCATTCCAGCTTGCAGAATGTTCTTTGGGACCAGCCCTGCTGAGAGCACAGCACCGGCTCCTCTCCTCTGATGCTCCTCTCTTCCTTGCTTGTCAAGGCTTTCGGTGGCCTCTCCGTGAGTTTTATGATTTGGCTTTTTTTCCACTGTCTATTAGGTTCATAAAAATGGGTTTTCTCTTTCACATCCTCCTTGCTACTTTTGAGTGGTTTATAGGAGAAGAGGAAATGACAAAATTCTGCTGTTGTTATCAAATAGGAAGTCCCTTTCAATAGATTGGATATGAAGTGCTTTGATTCTAATTTGGTTATAAAACTCCATTGTAAATTTTAGTGCATCAATTTTTAGAAGTAAGTTTTAGAATTTCCAAGTGTAAAGGGTCCTTTCTTTGGCTTGGTGTGGTATGGGGTGGGGTGCGTGTATTTGTGTGTGTGTGTGTGTTGGCTGCTGTGTAGGAGGCTACCTTTCTAATTTATTAGATTTTTGGATTGCTGAGACTTCCTTTCTTTTTTATGGTTTTACTTGTTTTTTTAAAGAATAAAAAGATTAGAAATAGTTTAATGTCTACAAAAAGAAATGGTTAATATAAGCTACCATATATCCATATGATGGGCTATTATGCAGACATTTTTTTTTAAAAATCACAATTTCAAAGAACATTTAATAACAGGAAACATGTTATTACTTAGTCAACTTATAGTGTGATTCCAGTTTAGAGGGAGAAATACATTAATACATATGTGTACATTTTAGAAAGCTGGGACATTTTGTGAGTGATTCAACTTCTTTTACTTTTTCTCTGTTTTCCAAATTTTCAACATTGAGCATATTATAATTATTTAATCAAAAGAAAATAAGTGTTAAAGTCAATTTTCTAAGGATAATGAAGCATGATTTTAGTTGCTTTAAATTTTCTAAGTTAGCACATGGAAAATCTGCAAATTTTCCACAAGTATTTGAAAAAATACTGTATGTTCATGAGATTAAGCTTAATAATTATCTTATTAAAACCATTAACTTTTTTAGTTCAGTTAATTTTTGAAGGAGAGGTATTCAAATCTCCCACCATTAGCGTGGACTCAGCAATTTCTCCTTCAGGTTCTATGTTTTTTTTTTTGTTTTATGTACTTGAGGCTATATTATTAGGCAAATAAATCTCAACAACTGAGATTTAAATAGATTTGAATTACATTGGAAATTTTTCTTTAAAACAGCAGGGTAGTCAGATTCGCAGTCATAAAAGTATCTGTTAATTTATGACCAGAAACATTTACATGAAGCACATAACTTAGGTGAAGGTGACTAGCAAAATCCTTCATATTTTCCCAGCTTTTTCACTTTTATAAAATATTCTTAAGTGACTGTTTCAAGTATTTTGTGATTTTTTTTTTCCAACTGCTCTAAATTCCTAGGATTAATATTACTGGCTCAAATGACATGATTATTTTTAAGGCTTTTGAAAAGCATTGCCAAGCAGTTTTTCAGAAAGATTACACTGGATACCCTTCATGGACATCTGAATGTGGTCATTTCAGCTCACATTTGGTAGCATCGAAAACTATCATTTTAGGTTATTTGTGTACTGAAATGCAAAGTAGAAGTATCTCATTGTGTCAGAGGGAGATAGTTGCCACTAAAATCCCTTCTGCAGCGTGAATCCATTCTTCCCTCTCCTGCACATGGCTGCTCAGCTACAGGCCTCATTCCCTAGCATCCCCCTTACAGCTAGACCCCTTCGTGGCTAGATTATCAGCAGTGTGAGCAGAAGGACGCATGCCACTTTAGCAGCCTAGCTTTTATCCTGATTCATACACTCTTATTTTAAACTATTTGCTCGATTTGTATTTTAAATTTATTTTTTGTGCTAAATGGGTTTGAAATAACTTTGTGCATTAAAGCTAATAGTCCGTTGTATGTAATTTCATTTGTCGTCAAATTCTGATTAGGAAAGTACATTTCTTGGTCACATCGGCATCAGGACCAATGCATTTCTTCAGTGTATTAAGTGAAATAGTCTATGCTAATATATATATATATAATGCGATTGATGAGAGTCTTGAAACTAATATTCTCTTTCTGCTTCTACTATTAAATCATCTGTAAAACTAATTTCCTAGGCCTCTTCTAGTACAATAATCCCATGATTCAAAGTTACACTTTTATACTTGGGAACTAATAAGAACACAAAAATCTAAGAGCTATGACTTTAAACCACAAGAAGAAATAGGTATTATAGATTATCTAGCTAATTTTTTGGCCATTTCTGTTGTATTGAGTGGTTGACTACCTCTTTCTATTCCAAAACCCTCAAATTGGATCAAAGGTCAGAAAAACATTAAAACAAAGGACAGAAGAATTGGAGATGAGACAACAGCACAGGAGTTTTCAATATATTTTTGGGAGCTAGAAATTAGATGGAGGAATAGTAGCTGATTAGTTGAGTTACCATCTAAGTGATTATAACTGGGGGCCTACAGATATAGCTAATCATCATGCAGAGCCTATAAGAGACTCATCAGTTGAAGGCACCAGATAGTATGGAGGATAACTCTATATCCTTCATCATATCTCATATCAGGAGATAAGCATTTTCAGGACTAGGGGACTAGAGGATACCTGGCTTTTAAGAGTAAAGAGGTGAGGTGTGGGGCCAAAAATATGGTACTCAATGAAAATCTTTATACTGAACTGTTGGATCCTTAGTCACCTTCTTTATTCCTAGAATTTCAAGTCATATATATAGGAAACTCTGAATGACCCTGGAGAAAATATCTTGAACTCCTGATATTTGATTTTCTTCCCATGAAAAGTATCTACCACGTCAGAACACATATCATCAGAAACTTTCAGAATAAGAATAAAAAAAAGAAAAATTGGAATAAAGAAAAAATCTTAAAGTCTTCCCAGAGGTAAAACAGAACATGAAGAAAACATTAGGAATAAGAACGACATTAGACACTTCAAGAACAAAACTGAGATATAAAGGAAATAGAGACTCACCCTCACAATTAAAACATAATTCCCACTTAACTAAGTATGAGGATAAAAATATTTTCAAACTTTCATGGTTTCAAAAGTAACTGCCTGTTCATTTTTTTCCCCCTAGGGATCAATTGGAGGATATGTTCCACTAAAATGAGGGAGTGAGCCAATCAAAGGAAGAGACAGAGGCCTGAAAAGAGGGGAGGACATTGTGAAGGGGACGATGAGGACGATGGTCTGCCGTGGAGAAGGAGGGTAGAGAAGCTGGACTGACATCTCCAGGTTGGATTCTCTGAAGTACTTATCATTTGGAAACTTTTTTGCTAGGTCTGTTTGAATTTTGGGGGAAAATCAGCAATAGACATATAACAGACCAATCCAAAAAAAATGGTAAGGTGTTACGTAGGGAAAAGAATCATTTGAAACACCAGTGTGATTGTATGTGTACTTGGCAGCAAACAATATCTATGTAGTCACAAAACTGAACTCTGGCTACTGATTTAACCAGATCATGTTAGAAAGGAGAGGGTGCCTGTGAAATCACTAAATCTTCAACTGTCTCCAATGTTTTTATTTTTAAACTATGAATGTGGATTTGTATAATAAAATAAAAATTAATTATAAACATGGATTGATTTGCATTGAGTTTCAAAATTTTTCTTGAAATAAGCTTTTGAACTTTAAACTGTTGTCTCTGCCTTCAGAACTGATCACTGTCATGCTCTCTGATCCAATTTTTTAGAGTGAGAGCAATGCAGTTATATTTTAAAGATATTATAAGCAGATTAAAAAAATTTTTAAGTATTCATTCAGGTCAAACTCTATCCCTTGTTTTTTCGAAGACATTACCATTGTTTCAATATACTTTAGCCATTGGTTTTCAGTGAATGCTGAAACAACTTAAGTTCCATGGAGTCCTTGGTAACAGGTATCCTTTTCCTACATAAAATGGAAAATAGATGGCTTGATGAATAAGGGTCCTCTCTAAACAGAATCAAAGGGAATTATATATCACATTTTTATTATTTGGGCACAATCTATCTTTTAGCAATCATATTAAATTACTTGCTCTTTCTTCTAACCTTTTGTTCTCCAGAGGTCTCACCATGCTCTTTCAATAGAATATCTTTCCCACTATTTGTCTTTCCATCCATATTTGTGCCTTTATCAAACATACATTTAAATAAATTTTCTTCTTTAAGTCCACTTGAAAAGTTCTACTCCATACTGATCATTCTATTATTCCATTTCTCTTAGCACTGATGTTTTGTGTTACATTAATTTGTACCTGTTTTCATATCATCTTTGCATGTGTTGTTATATCTTTCATCTGCATTTTGTTCCCCTATTATATTGTAAATTCTCTGAGAATGAGGACAATGTCTTTAACTTCATTTGCATATCTCCATGACATCCACTGAAGAATGTCGTTTGAAGGCAGCACTCATTAAATCACATTTTCACTTAACAAAATGATGTCTAGCTTTGGAAATGTAGTTATAAAGCACTCAATATAGTTGTTACGTATATTTTTCTCTTAAAAAGTCTTCAGGAAATAAACATATACAATATTACCTAAAAGATACATGCTGAGTGCCTTCAAAACACAGCACAATGTACTGAAATATAATTTAAAATGTTTTCAAATGGCATGTGCAAAATATTGATATATATATACATATATGCACAGGTTGAACAAATAATGTTAATTAATTCATTCCAATAATATAAAAAATAAACAATTGAATTTCATAAGAATGTTCTTTCTCCCCATATCTTAGGAAATAGCCAGTTTGACTTCACATATTTATATAAAAATGTATGTTAAGAATGTCTGAATTTCTCATAGACTTTGGCTTTCTATAATATCCAGAGTATATATAGCTTCTTCAGCTTGTTTTTTTATAAATTTTCCTTAACCTCCTTTTTTTAGTTTCATTTAAATTATGTCAAATTCTTAGTTCCAGAATTCTACTTATGATTCTCTAAACATAGAATCTTAAAATATTAAAGGTGAAAGAGTTCATTAAGTTCCAAGAATTTCTAAATATGCTAGAGCAACAGAATCAGGAAAGAATTCATGAAACTGAATATCCCAGGCCCACTCTCAGCAGCTATTTTTTATAAGCAGGGTCTAGAAACCTATCATTTTTAACAAGCATCCTACTTACTACTCTTGCTATATTGGCAGATCAATGATTTAGTCTAGCTTCTTCATTATAGATCTAAATAAATGAAGACATGCATACATATGTGCACATACTGTATATGTACTGTAAATGTCATGCTGCTCCTCAGATATAGAATCTTAATTTCTCATCTCTCGCTGCCTTCCGTCCTCTGTCCCCATGGTATACCTCCATCGTGGCAGTCACTTCCTCAAGGCTTTGCTCACACTCTTTCCCAACTGGAAAGTCTTATTTTTCCTTTTTGCTTTATCATTCGTTATGGTACATATCCATCATGATGCCTTCTCCCATCTCACACTCATACAGTTGTCTTTCTTCACTAAGTTATTTGTTGAATTGTTTATCTGACACTGAATCCAACACCATTGACATGAAGATTATCAGATTATCTGTGGATAATACTAAATTTACGCTGGCTTGTGTTCCCGTCAAGGCTCTTAGAAATTCAATCATTGAGAAAAGTTCTACCCTTGCAAAAATACACCTTATTAATGATGTAAATCATTTTCTTATTTTGGAAAAGTGTTTTAACTATTGGAAAACCACAACAATAATCTGATAATATCTGAAAGTACTATGATATCCCAGTTTCTTATAAAAGTAATTCTCAGATTTTAATACACAGACAAATCACACGCAGTTGGAATCTCTTAGTTTCTCCAATGGTATTTTCATGGATACATATTGCATTATTATTTAGCCTTTGATTTAATTTTATCACTCATTAAATTTTAAGTCTCACAAACCATTCCATCTTCTCATCCACCATAGCATCTGTGTGTCATTTATGTAATAAATGATTGACAAAAACATTTGAATTGAATAATTAAATTAGTCAAAGACTGCTACATAATTTCTGATTTTAAAATCTGTTCAAGAGCACTTAAAGCAGAAACGTTTGATCTGAAATGCACTGTAGAAAATCCTTATGCTTTGGTTTAAGCCAAGATTAAAAGGTAAGAAAAAGGTAAAAGATGTCACTCTCAAAAAGGAAACCCCAAACACAACAATAGACCAATGGAACAGACTATAGAGAGCCCAGATATAAACCAAGCATATATGGTCAATTAATATATGATAAAGGAGCCATGGACATACAACGGGGAAATGACAGCCTCTTCAACAACTGGTGTTGGTGAAACTGGACAGCTACATGCAAGAGAATGAAACTGGATTATTGTCTAACCCCATACAGAAAAGGAAACTCAAAATGGATCAAGACCTGAATGTACATAAAATTCTTAGAAGACAACATAGGCAAAAATCTCCTGAGTATAGATAGAAGCAACTTTTTCCTGAAATCATCTACTTGAACGAGGGAAACAAAAGCAAAAATGAACACATGGAACTACATCAAAATAAAAAACTTCTGTACAGCAAAGGATACCATCAGCGGAACAAAAAGGCATCCTACATTACAGGAGAATATATTTGTAAATGACATATCCGACAAGGGGTTAACATCCAAAATATGTAAAGAACTCACATGCCTCAACAACCAAAAAGCAAATAACATGATTAAAAAATGGGTGGAGGATTTGAACAAACAATTCTCCAAAGAAGAAATTCAGACGGCCAACCAGCACATGAAAAGATGCTCCACATCACTAATTATCAGGGAAATGTAAATTAAAACCACAATGAGATATCACGTCACACCAGTTAGGATGGTCAACATCCAAAAGACAAACAACAAATGTTGGCGAGGATGTGGAGAAAGGGGAACCCACCTACACTGCTGGTGGGAATGTAAACTAGTTCAACATTGTGGAAAGCAATATGGAAGTTCCTCAACAAACTCAAAATAGAAATCCATTTGACCCGGGAATTCCACTCTTGGGAATTTACCCAAAGAATATAATTTCTCAGATTCAAAAAGACAAATGCACCCCTATGTTTATTGCAGCACTGTTTACAATAGCCAAGATACAGAAGCAACCTAAGTGTCCATCAGTAGATGAATGGATACAGAAGAGGTGGTACATATACACAATGGAATACTATTCAGCCATAAGAAAGAAATAAATCCTACGATTTACAACAGCATGGATGGAGCTAGAGGGTATTATGCTCAGTGAAATAAGCCAGGTGGAGAAGGTGAGTACCAAATGATATCTCTTATTTGTGGAGTATAACAGTGAAGCAAAACTGAAGAAACAAAACAGCAGCAGACTCACAGACTTTAAGAAGGGACTAGCGGTTACCAAAGGGGAGGAGTGTGGGAGGGTGGATGGGGAGGGAGGGAGAAGGGGATTGAGGGGTATTATGTTTGACTCACATGGTGTGGGGAGATCATGGGGAAAACAGTGTAGCACAGAGAAGACAAGTGGTGACTCTGTGGCATCTTACTACACTGATGGACAGTGACTGCAATGGGGTGTCGAGGGGACTTGATAATATGAGTGAATGTAGTAACCACATTGTTTTTTCATGTAAAACCTTCACAAGAGTGTATATCAATAATACCTTAATAAAAAAATTAAAAAAGAAAGGGAACCCCACAATATGTTTACTTTTGCTACCATCACTTTATTTCATATAACTATATGAAACTTGCAAAATAAATTACTTCTCTTAAATCAACTGTGCTGGATTTTGGAATTTAGAAAGAATACTCACCTATCAAGAATTAATAACTGTTAGAATAAATCCTCTTGTCCCAACTAGCTATAGATTTTGACTGAAAAATCAGAGAGGCCTTTTCTCAACAAGTTTCAAAGGCATCAGTTGTAGAGGACACTTTCCCTATTGACATGCTGCTAATCAACTTGCATCTCTTACGCAAGCATCTAAATGTTGGGTTTATGCATCACCTGACACTCTGAGGTTTAATGCATCACCAAAGCAGCAATGTGTGGGTTCTCTCTGATAAGGATGCTGGGTATAAAACCTACTGTAGCAGGTAGTAGGAGACACTCAGTGGACATCAGACTCTCATTCCTTTATCTCTTCAGTAAATATTTCTTCAGATGCAGACTTCTTCAGCTCATTTAGACCAGTCACTGTGATAGCAAAGATTTCTTCTTATGGATTAAGGCTCAAAGTTGCATTTGCTGAAAACACAAACCTTATTCTTCTCAGTACATGAACATATGGTTATATCAGCTTAACTTAATCCATTTATGAATATCCTTCATATCATTTGAAATGCATATAGAGAAAAAAACAACTAATAAAGTTACAGTTATATATATTGAGAAATTTTGCTTTGACTCCTCATTAAAATGGGAAAGTGTTAATTTTGTTCACAGATTTTATATCAGGAGACATAGGTTTTCCAATTTACTACAGAAGTTCTTTCCCTTGCTTATAATCATTTTATTAGTTATTATGGACAATAACTCTGAGATATAGGTTGGTATTGTTATCTTAATTTTATGGTTACTGCATTTGATCTATTTTATGCTTATCTCTAGTCTCAATTTTAGGGCAATATGCATCCCGGCAAAAGAGTGCAACTTTCCCACATTCCTGTGATATAATCAAGCACTTTGTCCCATATTTGACAATAGCACTCTCCTCTGAACTATACTTATCTCTGCAGAGATTTTTGCAGGTCTTCTAAGCATGAAGTTACAGCACATATTATTTCTTCCAGTAATGATTAGCATGAGGCTGGGGTTGAAAGTGTCCTAAGAGGGATTTTATTTTTAGCATTCAGTCATTAGGAGAGTCCTTGCATGCATGCCTCGCTTTATTGTGGATTTTCATTCTTGTATCGTCCCCCTCCTCTATTTTCTTTCATCCTCTGACAAAGAAATTCTCACTTGTTCATAAATGAATTTGATATTCTGAGGGGCAGGGAGGAGCAAAAGAAGGAAAAGTAAAGAACCTGAGAAGCAACACGGAAGAGGGCTCAGAGCACAAACTCTGCCATCAGATGGCCTGAGAAGGCACCAGGCTCTGCCATTAACAGCCGGGCGTCTTGGGGAAGTCACTTTACCTTGCTGTGCCTCAGCCTCGGCTTCTCCATTTGTAAAATGGGGCTAAAAACAGAATTTACCTTATAGAGGTGTTCTAAGGATTAAATGAATTAGTATTTGTAAAAGCACTTAGAAATTTGCCTAGCACGGAAAGGAATATGTAAGTAAATAAACAACAGGTATTCTGGGTGATCGAAATGTACAATGGAGAAATAACATTACAGTTTTAGAACTTTATGCCACTTTATGAAAAATCAAGGATTTTATATTTCATGTATTTCTTTCATTGCTTTAAAATTAGTGGAAAAGAGGTCATCATGGTTAATTTTGATACGTTGGAATGGTTGCTACAGAGACAAATACTTCTCTGGGCTGGAGATCATCAAGTCCATCTCTTAAATAAATATGGAAATAATGCTTATTACTTCCTCTAGAAATCTCCTGGGTGATTCTACAACATTCTTTGACTGTAAAGTTCTGTAACTAACTTCCTAACAATTTGCTAATGAGAGATCACTACGTTTATCAGTGGTTTTTACCTAGACCAGGAGAACACTTTTTCCCAAAACTCTCCCTCTTCTCTCAGATGCCACAGTGCCTGAAACACTTGTACAAATACTTAAATAGAACATTCTGACTTCTAGACATTTTGCAACCATTTAAAGTAGGTTTACAAACCAGTAAATCTCCAGAAAAGTATTTTATGAAGAAAAAATACCCTATCAGTGTCAAAGCCACCTAGAGAGCATATCAGATCTAAGCTACTTATTTCATCTTTGATTATAGCACTGCATACACCTTGCCTAAAATAGCTGCTTGTGTAGGCTGAACTGTATCACCGGGTATCAAACCCCTGCTGCTTTTAGACTTAGTCCATGAGCAACTACACCAACATTAGGTGTCCCAAGACCATTAGGTAAAGGCCTAGGAAATTCTGGGAAATGAGTCCAATTTTGTAATCTGGAAAATCACACCCTCAAAGAAGCACACACAGAAAAAAAAACCTACTTTTTTTTCTAGGAAAAGCCCAATTTCCAAGAGGCTATTTCTTTTCTTTCTTAAAATGTCTACTTATACCCAAGTTTATATTTAATTAAGAGGCTCAAACTTGCATTCAAATGCTCAAAGTGTAAAGAAGCTACAGTAAAAACCTCATAAACTATAAACAAGTGATACTTTTCAAAATAAAATTTTGTAGTTAAGTGACAGAAAATACAGATAATACAAAATATAAATAAAGGTCTTCCGAAACCCTGCTGGTTGCATACTGAATGCACTATACAAACATAATTTATACTCGCTAGTAAGAGTGTTCAGTATAGATCTTTGCTAAATTTGATTACATAGTGGACAATTTTGATGATTTTTCAATGGCAACCACAAGATTAACTGGAAAAAAGATGGTGTAGGCAAGTCTAAAATGATCATCTTTTCACTCAAATAAGCAATTTAAATCTAAATCTGAGAATGTGTATCTTTATTTTAGTAAATATATTATGAAGTATCAGCATATTTCTTTAATCAAAATGGTACAGTCTCAGCCTGGTGGGAGTGGTTTCCCCAAACTGAAGAATATATTAATTACAACTGATACAAACCAGTAAATCTCCAGAAAAGTATTTTATGAAGAAAAAATACCCTATCAGTGTCAAAGCCACCTAGAGAGCATATCAGATCTAAGCTACTTATTTCATCTTTGATTATAGCACTGCATACACCTTGCCTAAAATAGCTGCTTGTGTAGGCTGAACTGTATCACCGGGTATCAAACCCCTGCTGCTTTTAGACTTAGTCCATGAGCAACTACACCAACATTAGGTGTCCCAAGACCATTAGGTAAAGGCCTAGGAAATTCTGGGAAATGAGTCCAATTTTGTAATCTGGAAAATCACACCCTCAAAGAAGCACACACAGAAAAAAAAACCTACTTTTTTTTCTAGGAAAAGCCCAATTTCCAAGAGGCTATTTCTTTTCTTTCTTAAAATGTCTACTTATACCCAAGTTTATATTTAATTAAGAGGCTCAAACTTGCATTCAAATGCTCAAAGTGTAAAGAAGCTACAGTAAAAACCTCATAAACTATAAACAAGTGATACTTTTCAAAATAAAATTTTGTAGTTAAGTGACAGAAAATACAGATAATACAAAATATAAATAAAGGTCTTCCGAAACCCTGCTGGTTGCATACTGAATGCACTATACAAACATAATTTATACTCGCTAGTAAGAGTGTTCAGTATAGATCTTTGCTAAATTTGATTACATAGTGGACAATTTTGATGATTTTTCAATGGCAACCACAAGATTAACTGGAAAAAAGATGGTGTAGGCAAGTCTAAAATGATCATCTTTTCACTCAAATAAGCAATTTAAATCTAAATCTGAGAATGTGTATCTTTATTTTAGTAAATATATTATGAAGTATCAGCATATTTCTTTAATCAAAATGGTACAGTCTCAGCCTGGTGGGAGTGGTTTCCCCAAACTGAAGAATATATTAATTACAACTGTGAAGTTAATATGCTGTTCTTTTTAACTACCTAGGTCACAGAATAAAATATTATCAGAGTATGAAAACTACTCAGAAGAAAGTCATCTCTGCTGATATGGGAGTTTGTGCTGAAACGTAAGAACCCACATCATTAGGCAGATTTTATACCAACAAACTACAGATGCCGTCTGTGTCAGACCCTCTAGCAAATTTTTAGGCATTCCATATGGTGAGCAGAACTATTAACAAGTACATAACAAAAATCATGAGATGAAGTAAAACTGAATAATTCAGACAACTGATTTATGTGGGATAAGTGTCACTCAGGGATTTTAGGTCATTATTTCAATTAAATAATTACATGGTGAATTTTAATTCCAGTTATAAAAATTATTGAATGATTACAATTTTGAAATTAGGTTAAGAAACATAAAACCCCACAGTCTTCCAGAGATGATATTAATTTGTTTTTAGATCTTATGTTGGTGAATAAGTTCTAAAATTTCATAGTTATGCAGATACTGTTGATATTGATAGAAAATGATACAAGCATACAATTCTGTATTATGAGGAGTTATATATTTTCAGATAATTGTGGCATTTTTATTGAAAATAGTCTGTTAAATAAGAAATCTGAATAGATTGATACACATATAATCAGAAGTCCTAGTACATTTGGAAAAGAGCACAGGACTTAGAAAGCAGAGGAATTAAGGTCTTAGATCTGCCCACCTACTTAGAACCACACCTTGAGTCAATTATTTAGCCTCTTTAAGCCCAAATTTCTGTATTATAGAAATCTGGGGAATGGACTACATGATCATTAAATTCCACTCAGGTCTACAATATTTCTGTTTACCTCCTGTTTTGTATTTGGATCTCATTAAGAGAGAGGGTGACTACAGGAGAAATAAGAGGAAGTGTGTGTTAGAGGAAGAAACTGTCATGAAGAAACATTATGCCCTGAATGAAACTAATTATACAGTCCTGGACAGATGTCTTCCCGGATAGCAAAACTATTCTGAATGATCTTTGAGGAAAAGTAGACAACATACATGATACCAGACAAATGATCTTCCTTTTTTTCTTTCAGAGGAAAGAAGGTAGCTGTCAGATACAGATGGAGACATTTGTCCAAGATCCAGGAGACCAGGAAGACCTTCCTGCCCTCAAGTCCAATAAACCAACCAGAATCCTCTTTTAGATTTAGCTACTGTTATTTAACTGATATGACAATTCCCTTATCTAAGTAAGCATAGCATTATAATCTTAAGAGTATTTTTCAAATTAAGTTTCATTTAATATAAATAAACATAATAAATAAACAAATAAATAAAGTTTTTAGTCCATTTTTAAAATGTGTTATTTAAAATGGTCTTCTGAATTTGCACTAGCAGGATATGCACTGCAGAAGCTGTATAGTTCCCATGAAAGGTGTTCATCCCGATGTCCACCTGATATAGACACAGGGCAACTGACAAAAAGAAAGTCCTCTCAGAGAAGAGAATGGAATCAGAATCAAGGGACCACCCTCCCTCCTAGGCAATGAGAAGACAGAGTGCTTACCCAGTAGGAGTTTACAACTCCTGTGGACCGATGAGTATGGTATGGCCTCCAGGCTGCCCTGTACCCTGCAGGAGTGGTCAGAGGTTGGACTGTGACAGAGATGGCTAGCTGCCCACTACAATTTGTGCTCCTCCTTTCATAGTATAGAGCCATTCGTGGGAAGTTATTTCCAGCCAAGGATAGCCTCCTTCCATTCATGTGTGACCAGTTCTCACAAAGGAATGTGAACAGAGTTGATCTGTGTCACCATGAGGCTTGGTTTTTTGGAAACAGGGTTGCCTTCCCTTCACACTCTTGGGCCAGCTGGCTGTAAAGAGGTTCTAACCCTCAGGGATGTTGGAGTTAAAAGATGGAAAGAAATGCATCCCTGAGTCACTGTGTGGTGAAAAAACCATCTGCTGATTAGGACTACCCAGAATTGACTGCTATGGGAGTGAAAAATAGGCTGTTATTGTGAAAAATGGACTGTTATAGGAGTGAAAAAATCATGTTGAGCCACTTAAATCTGGGGCTTATTAGCTTTAGGTGTGGTTACCCTACACCAGGGCTTGGCAAGCTACAGCCTGTGGGCCAAATGTGGCCTGCTGCTACTTACGTGTAGCTCATGAACTGAGCTTTACATTTTTAAACCATAGAAAAAAATAAAAAATACTAGTTCCCAATAGGTGAAAATTATTTGAAACCTAAATTTTTGTGTCAATGAGTAAAGCTTTTATTTTTTGTTTTTAAATAAAACCATGTTCATTCACTGTCATCTATGGCTTCTTTTGTGATGCAGTGTCACAGTTGAGTAGCTGCGATAGCAACTATGAATTATTGAAACCGTAATTCATAATTCATATAGAGACTTTACAGAGACTGGACAGCCTAAAAACTTAACTCTGGCCTTTTTTAGAATAAGCTTTCTGATGCTTCTTAAACAAAAGTTGAAACTAATTATACATCAGTACTTGAGCTCTTGTATCTTCTCTTGTCCTTCTACCAATCCTAGGTGTTCTTCCCCTAGATATTCCTCTTCTACTTTATCAACAGGATCACATAAATTTAATTTAAAAATATCCATATGGATAATCTGGTTTGGGAGCTTCATATTTTTAAATGCCTGGCAGATTCATAGTAGAGGTCTCATCTTTCTTAGTAAAATGATGAAAAAATCTAAAACACTGTAAATTAATTTTTAAATTATGGTAAGACAATTCAGAGAAACACGTTTCCTGATGACAACTTTCTCTGGACATGTGGAAATTATATAAAAACCACTATAAATTGCACTTATATATGGTAATACAATGTTAATCAGAATTACTCTAAAATAAAGCAACAAAATACATACTCTTGCACCATCGCTGACAATTATTTTTAACAGTTTTATTGAAAGATAACATACAATCCACCCATTAGTGCATACAATTCAGTGGTTTTCAGTAGTCACAGATATGTGCAGTTATGCTCATTGTCAACCTTAGAACATTTTTATTACCTCTAAAGGAAGCTCCATATCCTTTAGCAATCACCCCTCAATACTCTCAATCCCACCCACCCTATCCCTAAGCAACCTCTAATTTACCTTCTATCTCTGTAGATTTACCTGTTCTGGATTTCCATATGAATGGATCAAATAATATATTGGTCTTTTGTGATTGACTTCTTTCACTTAACATGTTATCCAAGTTCATTTATGTTGCAGCATGTGTCAGTACTTCATTCCTTTACGTGACAAATAATATTCCTTTGTATGGATATGCCACATTTTGTTCATCCATTCATCAGTTGATAGACATTTGTTGTTTCCACTCAAATGTTGCTATAAACATTCATGAACAAGTTTCCTTGTGAACATATGCTTACATTGTCTCTGGTATATATTTAGGAGTGAAATAGTTATGTGGTAATTCTCTGTTTAATCATTCAAGGAATTGCCAGTTGTTTTCCAAAGCAGCTGCACCATTTTACATTCCTACAGGCAGTATATGAGGGTTCTGACTTTTCTATTCCTCATCAACACTTGCTACTGTTGGACTTCTTGATTCTAGCCATCCTAGTACATGTAAAGTAGTATCTTGTGGTTTGGAATTGCATTTCTCTGATGACTAACAATGTCAAGCATCTTTTTGTGTGTTTATCAGCTATTTGTGCATTTTCCTTAGAGAAACATGAATTTAAATCCTTTGTTCATTTTTAAAGGTTTTTTTAGTATTAGATTGTAAGAGTTCTTACTTAATATATTCTAGATACAAGTACCTTATTAGATATGATTTACAAACATTTTCTACATTCTGTGGTTTGTCTTTTCACTTTATTAATGGTGTGCTTTGAAACAAAATTTTTAAATTTTGATGATGTCCAATTTATCTATTTTTAATTCAGTTGCTCATAGTTTTCATGTCATATCTCAGAATCCTTTATCAAATTCAAGTCATGAAGATTTACCCCTATGTTTTCTACTAAGATCTTTAGCTCTTACATTTAGGTTATGGATCCATTTTAGTTAATTTTTGTGTATGGTGTGAGGCAAGTGTACAATTTTATTCTTTTTAATGAAGCTGACAAGTTGTTTCAGCACCATTTGTCAAAAAGACTATTCTTTCCCCATTGGATAGTCTTGTCCCCTTTTTTGAAATTTGTTGACCATAGGTGTATGGGTATATTTCTGGGTTCTTGATCCTATTCTTTTGATCTATATGTTTATCTTGTGTTAATACCACACTGTCATGATTATTGTTACTTTATAGTAAGTTTTGAAATCAGGAAGAATGAATCTTCCTACTTGTTCTTTTTCAAGATTGTTTGTGCTATTCTGTGTACCCTGTATGTTAAACTAACTTTATACTCAAGATAAATCCAACTTGGACATGGTTCATAATACTTCTTATATGTTGGTGGATTTGGTTTGCTAGTGTTTTATTGAGGATTTTTGCATCTATATTCATAACACATATTGGTCTGTAGTTTTCTTGTGATGTCTTTGTCTGATCAGGGTAATACTGACATCATAGAATGAGTTAATGTTCCCCCTTCTTCTATATTTGGGGAGACTTGTGAATCATTGGTATTAACTCATTTAAATGTTGGTAGAATTCACCAGTGAAGCTATCTCGATCTGGAATTTTCTTTATAGGAAGTTTTAAAAGTACTTATTCAATCTCTGAATATAGGTATATTCAGATTTTATCCTTCTTTTTGAGTCAAATTTTTTTAGTTTGTGTCTAAGAATTCATCTAAGTTATCTAATTCTTTGGTGTGCAGTTTTTCATAGCATTCCCTTATAATATTTTTATTTCTAGAATGCCAGGAGTTATGGGTCCTTCTTTCTTTGCTGATTTTAGCAATTTGAGTCTTTTCTCAGGAAATTCCCTGAGGTGGTGTTCCTGAATTTTCAGGGATTTGTCTTCTACCTTCTGATATGGATGTGTTTTACTAAGTGTTTGAGCTATCTGTTAGCATACAAAGCCCTATATTTTATGGCTTTGAGTCTTCAACAGGTTATCTCCGTGGGAGAAATAAGCAGGGGGTTGGTGAGGATTCTTGTAGAAGTACAATATCTGCAAATACTGTGCTGATTTGGAGTCCACACTTAAATATTCCTTGGATCTCCTTTTCCTTAATCTCCTAATCTCATCCTTTCCAAGTTCCTGATGAAACCATCCACTACTGTCCATGAATTAAAGTAGATGAGTAACTTAGACAACTCTCCTAGGTAGAAGGAACAGCCAAATGTAACCCTGGAAGTTTCTTCCCACCAGGAATATTTCCACTCCCCACATACTTCAGGGCCTCTGTACTTGGAGTATGTTTGCCCATATCACATAGGAACATCTATAATTCATAGCTGAATCTATTTCTCCCTTAATCAACTGGTCATGATGAACTCATCATAAGATCATAGATATGGATTTAGGAAAAAAAGCAGTTTCCTGGGAGTGGAAGCTATGAACCTGTTTATGAAGTCTAATTGTGCCTCCAGGATCTGCACAAGCCCCTTCTTTCATGTACCATTACCATTCAGGATGGAATAGTACCATGCATGTCTGCTTTAATGGCCTTGTGCATTAGGTATAAACACAGTATGGTGGCTACATTTGATTGCAAGGCCACTTTGTAGACTCATGGCTAAGCAAAATGTCTTTGCTAGGGCTTTATAATAAGTCAGGAGATAGTTCTCAGTAGAGAAAAAAAAGTTATTTGACTGAGAGCATAACTTTGTCCCCAAACTCTAGGGGCCTCTGCTGAGATTCTTTTATCCGGTCTTGCCACCATTTCCATACAACAACTTCAACTGTCACAGACACTTTTGCACCATTGAAGAATACTTCTTGTGTTGCAGCCCAGATACCAGAGAACTTTTCCTTTTTTCTTTTGGCTCCAGATAACCTGGCAGCCTTAAAGATTACTAGATAAATGGGCCAGACACCAACCTAAAATTTACATATATTGTCTTTGAAACCCAGTAATTTAAAGCAGAAACTTGTCTTTCGTTTTTGGAGAGAACATCCTGTTATTTCCCACACCACTGGATGCCCCCAAAATTCCCTGAAGTGGTTATCCCTTGACTTTTCATGGAGTTTATCACTCAGTGGTATGTGTTTTACCAAGTGTTCTATCTGTTAGTGCATACAAGCCTTTAAAA